TGAAGTACCTTCGTTTTTCTTGCGTTTATCATTATTTTTCATATTTTCAATCTAGATGTGGACCCGGTAGATGTTAATCAAAATTAACGAAATTTTGCCCAAATAATTTATTCATCCAGCAGAACATATTTATTATACAGCCAAAAACATTTTGAAAATCAATGGGGGTTTGATGCACCCTAGCCCATAGTTACCAGTAATGTTAGAGAACCTAGAGAAAAGTTATGAAGAAAATAATATGGCAAGCTTTTAATGCTTTGAAATGGATACAGAGTCCTAGTCTCCTACAATCCCAACACAGACAATTCAATGCCATCTATGCGTCTCTGGGTCAACAAGGGAGGGGCTTGTGTTTCACTTCTATAACCAATCTCAGTCCTCTTTGTATGACATCACCTAATCGGTCCATTTTTTTCTTATTTTCAAACTCAAGGCTTCCAGCCATCGAGCCTGGGGAGGTATGTGGGTAAGTGAGCTAAGCCTCTCTGCCTCTGATCAGAAGGTTGCTGCTTTGAGTCTGGCTTGGGCCACCTGTCTGTGGGCCCGAGAGTCAGCTCCTTAAAGGGGACATTCACCCCAAAACTGAAAATAAATGTTTTCTCGGGCTATCCATTCATCTAGGCTTTTCCGCTCGGAGGTGTCTGGTGTTGAAGATATTGGTCGTAGAAATGTCAGGCTTCTCTCGAATATGAAGCGAATGGGATTCTTTCTGTGGTGTTCAAAGCACCAGAAAAATACAATGGAAAAATTCAACAGCAATGTCTCTTACCAGAAATTATCACCTGCTTATTGAAGATGGTCCACAGGATTTGTAGTGAGGCATTTAATGTACAAATTTTCTACTACTGAACTCCACACAACAATCATGTCATTTTGCAGAAGATACTGTCGGGGTGCTTGTGCTTGTATTTTCTGTGCAGTGAACTGCCCCTTTAAGGAGCTTGCTAACGGGCCCACAGACAGGTGGTAATTCTGCCGAGGCCGGGCTCAAAGCGGCAACCTTCTGATCACAGGCAGAGAGGCTTAGCCTGCTGAGCCACACTCCACTCCAGGCTTCATGGTTGGAAGTCTTGAGTTTGAAAATAAGAAAAAATGGACCAATTCGGTGATGTCATACAATGAGGACTGGGACTGGTTATAAAAGTGAAATGCAAGCCGCCACTCCCCCCCCCCCGTTGACCCAGGAACACATTGGATTTGGGGAAATCAGGAACGCGTCCTGATATAGACCCCCCCTCCAGTCTACTACAGCCCGATACCGACCTCAAAGTCTCTTACAGTCCTGATACAGATTTCCCACTCTCTTATAGCTATAATACAGACCTCCTGGTCACCTACATTTTGATTCAGACCCCCAGTCTCCTACAGCCCCAATACAGACCTTGCAGTCTCCTACAGCCCTGATACAGACCTTGCAGTCTCCTACAGCCCTGATACAGACTGTGCAGTCTCTTACACCCCTGATACAGACCTCACAGTATCCTACCTGATATAGTCCATGCAGTCTCCTACAACTCTAATACAGACCTTCCAGTCTCATACAGCCTTGATACGGACATCACAGTCTCTTACAGCCTCAATATAGACCTCATAGTATCCTACAGCCCTGATACAGACTGTGAAGTCTCTTACACCCCTGATACAGATCTCACAGTATCCTACCTGATATAGTCCATGCAGTCTCCTACAACTCTCATACAGACCTTCCAGTCTCCTACAGCCTTGATACAGACATCACAGTCTCTTACAGCCTCAATATAGACCTCACAGTATCCTACAGCCCTGATACAGACCTCCCCCAGTCTCCAGCAGCTGAGATACGGACACAAATCTGATCAATCTGAGAACATACTCACTGGATGCGGGCAACCGAGGGTTTTTCAGGTTTCTGTGGAGGCATCACAGAATCAATAGCAGGCTGTCCTAATAATTTGGTTGGTTTGAGAAGAAGGGGTTTCTTTGGGGGAATAGCAGGGCGACCGGACTTTTGGATGTCAACACCAGGCTTCAATTCGTCAACTAGGAGAATGAATTCAGACACACACAGATAAATTGCATGACAGTAAGACACACCCAGACATAACACAGAGATAAACAGCACAAGAGTAACAAATACACTGGCTGCCAAGCCTTAAAGAGGCCATACCTTTATCGTCTCCTTTCTGGGTAAGTGACTCTCGCCGGTCAAGTGAGATCTTTTTATCATCTGGCTTGTTTTCTGAGGAGAGTCAAGCACAGAGGTCAACAGTGGGGTCACACTGTTGCAGCAAGGGTTCTGCGGCCATTATATACAGCTCCAGAAGCTCTCCCACTGAGTGGTAGCTCCAGAAACTGACTAGCGATTACAGTGAAAGCAGCAAGTCCCAAAGACAAAGCAAGCTGGAGATGACAGGAGAAATGGAGATTAAAGGATAGCCTACCACCTGCTTTGGAGTGAGCAGCAGATGGGTCTTGGGGTGGAGGTTTCTTAGGTTTCTGAAAGGGAAAAACAGGACATAGTGTGGGACAAAAAATGCATGGCGGTCTGCAGGAGGGTGTGGTCACCTGACACTAGGGAGAAGCAGACTCACCACCGTCTCCTCGTCCAACACCAGCAGCCTGACAAAGTTGTCTGGAAAAATTCCTTGCCGGCCCTGCAGCTCCCCCTGCCACCAACCAGGGTCAACACACTCCTGTGGTGTCAGAGGTCAAACATCAGTGCCCAGCTGGCAAATAATAATGTCAAACAGATGCTTGCTCACCTTATTGATGATGGCCACAATGTCTCCCTCTTTGATTGACAGCTCATCTTCATTTTGCGCCTCATAAGAGAACATGGCTTTACAGAATTCACGGGCTAAGAGCAAGAAAGAAAGAGGTCCAACTTCTGCACCCTCATGAAGTCTCATCACAGCACATTCTGAGCACCAGCTCTTCTCACCTTTGATTTTGCCTACTGCCTCAGCATTGGTCATTTCCCGGACCTTCTGGGAGACACAGAATCACACTGAGCACAGCTGGGGGACAGAGTGGAGACAGAAATGCGGTCTCTTTCGGTGGACCGTGTTCAATGTTGGTAAACAACAGAGACGTACTTTCTCCATGCCACCATCTTGGTTCATGGAGCTGTGCTTGTCCCTGAGAATGTCCCCAAATGCAGGAGCCCGTAGCTGCTCAGGTTGGATCTCACTGCTGTTCACCAACCTAAGGCTACCACACTCAGGCTCCTTACTCTGGGTTTCTGGGCTGAGCTTCACACCTGAAGGGTTAGGGGTCAAGGTCACACGGCCACAGAAAGACACAGCACTACCGCAGCACAGTCTCACCAGTAACTCACCAGTACCACTGCTACTGTCTGGGGCACTGGGGCAGCCATCCTGGTCCTCGGCATCCTCTGCATACTTTCTGGTGAAGTTTGAGGGAAACATCCCCATCTTGCCATTGAGACGACCCTCCCACCAGCCCTCCTCCACCTGCGTACATGCACACTTTACGGGATACGGCCCTACAGAGCTGTACAGACCTATCACTGCATTTCTGAACATGCACCTTTTGGAAGACTGATTATCTACAACATCAGACACACAAATGGTTTTGGGGGATGAAAATGACCTCCTCCGTGATCTCGATAACATCCCCGGGCTTCAGCTCGAGCTCGTCCTTGTGTTGAGGCGTGTAGCTAAAAGTCGCCATGCACCATCTCCTTCTGACGTTCTCACCTATTGACAGGTAGGTTCACAGCTGAATGTCAGTGCACTGCAGAGCAGGGGACACGTTGGCGCCTGCTGACCTGAGTGTGACATACCGAACTCGACCACGAGGGGTCTCTTATCAACGGCACAATGCTGATTATGTCTAGTATGAAATGCTTGTGTTTCTATGTAGTTAAATCACCCTTCTGGACCATCCAAATGTCATGCCCTGCAGCACTGTTGTTTTTGGACACCTCGTTTGGCTTCTTGGCTTCGGTCATCGGACATTCCACCCTCTTGATCTCCTGGGGAAAGAGGAGGAGGTAGACGTGAGTGTTATAGACACTGGCAGCCCTGCTGTTCCATACCTGAAACACACCTGTGGAGTATGAAGGGGATTTGGTGAGCTGAGCTCCACTCAATAGCTGCCTCTTCTCCACATTCCAACGACACTGGCAGTTAAACACTCAAAGACAAATTATTAAAGCAGGGTAAGGAGCGTTCTCTCACATATCCCATCATACCCTGCAATGTGACACACACATATACATACAGATGATAGTGAAGCTTGGGTCTGAGTGCAGGGTCAGGCATTTATCTGAAGCAAACTTGGAGTAGATTTCAAGTTATTGATCTTGCTAATATGATCACTCTTCTGGCTGTTGGATTCGAACCAGCAACCTTCCGTCTGTGGGCATAGCATACCCCTCCCACAAAGTACTGCTAATCTTGATCTGAGATCAGACTCATGTGAGTGATTTGGTCTGCCTGAGCAACCCTGCAGCTCAGATTTCATGTCTCCGCCAGCTGTGAACAGCAGCCCACTGGCAACCAAACATCTGAAATTGCTGGGGGGCACTTTCTCACACTCCCCATGAAGTAGCTTTGCTCACATGACAGTGACGTGATTTAAATCACTGATAGTTGGAGGGGACCTCTGCTGACGGATGAAACATTCAGCATTGATAGAGTGGCTTAAAGAGGAAACAGAGCTCTGCAGCATTTCAGGAAACACCTGCTGAGAAAAGCCGAGAGCAACAGAGGCAGCGGCGCTGCCCGGATCCAGACTTCAGTGATCTCCATGGCCAGCAGCCAGCATGCTGAAGAGCAGGCTGTGATCTACCAAGAATTGAGGAGTGTACCAGTGTACAGGCGTGTACATGGACACTGAGAGCTCCAGTGTACAGGCGTGCACATGGACACTGAGAGCTCCAGTGTACAGGCGTGTAAATGGACACTGAGAGCTCCAGTGTTCAGGTGTGTACATGGACACTGAGAGCTCCAGTGTACAGGCGTGTACATGGACACTGAGAGCTCCAGTGTACAGGCTGCATTGGTGCGCTCAGAGCTCGGCTACTCACCTTGACGAAGTTGTCTGGGAAGAGTCCCCTGCGCCCAGCCAGCTCGCCCTGCCACCATCCCCCCTCATTCTTGTGAATGTTACTGATGATGTCGCCGACCACGAGGGTCAACTCGTCATGCTGCTGGGCCTTGTACTCAAACTCCACCACGGCCTCCACTGTAAAAGGGGGGGTGGGGGTGAGGGGGGGGGAAATCACGAGGTCCTAAACCGAGAATGCAGAGGCTGTCAGCTAAATAACACTGCTTACTGTAAAAGCATCTATTATTTCTACACATTCACACAAGTAACCTAACTGCTAAAATACTGTAGCGATGTCAGAAGTCACTCTGCCCCAGATAAGATCTTGTGGTCAGTTTCTTGGTTCCTCTCAGTATCAATGCTGGGGCATATCACACATCACTTCAGGACTTAAAGTGAAGAACAGGAAGCAGAAATATGATTTTCAACAGCACTGAAGAAGATGCAGTAAGATCAAGGTTAGTCAAAGTTCAGTGTCACTGCAGGAGTCACACACATCTGCAACAAGGAGACAGATATACAGGGCAGACACAAGAAGCAGACAGATTTACAGACACAGAAGGTACTTGTAATTACAGATACAGGAGGCAGACAAATGACAGACAGGTGGTAGACAAAACTACAAGCACAGGAGGTAGAGTTAATCACAGACACAAGAGGCAGACAGAATTACAAAGGCAGGAGTGAGGCGTAAATACAGACACAGGAGGTAGATGGAATTACAGAGTTTGGAAACTCATGCCGTATGACATCAGTTTGTGTGTCATATTGCTATGTTGCACTTTGCATTTAATGTTGATGTCATACTGCTGTTACAGTCTGCATGTGTATGTGTGTCATACTACTCTACAACTCCGTGCATGTATGTGTGTGGGTCATATTGTTCTATTACACTGTGCATGTATGTGTGTGTCATACTGCTCTATTATACTGTGCATGTGTGTGTGTCATACTGCTCTACTACACTGTACGTGTGTACGATAGTACGTCATACTGCTCTATTACACTGTGCATGTGTGTGTATATCATACTGCTCTATTACACAGTGCGTGTGTGTGTATCATACTGCTCTGTTACATTGTGCATGTGTGTATCATACTGCTCTATTACACTGTCTGTGTGTGTGTGTCATACTGCTCTATTACACTGTGTGTGTGTGTGTATCATACTGCTCTATTACACTGTGCGTGTGTGTGTGTCATACTGCTCTATTACATTGTGCGTGTGTATCATACTGCTCTATTACACTGTGCGTGTGTATCATACTTCTCTATTACACTGTGTGTGTGTGTATCATACTGCTCTATTACACTGTGCGTGTGTGTGTGTCATACTGCTCTATTACACTGTGCGTGTGTGTGTGTCATACTGCTCTATTACACTGTGTGTGTGTATCATACTGCTCTATTACACTGTGTGTGTGTGTGTATCATACTGCTCTATTACACTGTGCGTGTGTGTGTATCATACTGCTCTGTTACATTGTGCACATGTGTGTGTCATACTGCTCTATTACACTGTGTGTGTGTATCATACTGCTCTATTACACTGTGTGTGTGTATCATACTGCTCTATTACACTGTGTGTGTGTGCATCATACTGCTCTATTACACTGTGCGTGTGTCATACTGCTCTATTACACTGTGTGTGTGTGTGTATCATACTGCTCTATTACACTGTGCGTGTGTGTGTATCATACTGCTCTGTTACATTGTGCACATGTGTGTGTCATACTGCTCTATTACACTGTGTGTGTGTATCATACTGCTCTATTACACTGTGTGTGTGTGTGTGTGTGCATCATACTGCTCTATTACACTGTGTGTGTGTATCATACTGCTCTATTACACTGTGTGTGTGTGTGTGTGTGCA